TCATTTCAATACCCTTTGTCCCCAAAGCAGAAATTGGCTATCAGAAACAACAAATACATGTCAAGGATGTTGAGTCAGTGTATTATTTTGAGTTTTAAACAGATGTGATAAAAAGGCTCTGTTACAGCAAATCCTCAACATTAAATGGTTCCTGAAAAGAACAGAAAAGTGGCCTAGGAGTGGTTTGGGAAATGTGGTCTTATGTGATGTTTATGTTTGGCTGTAGTTCACCAAAAATGAAGGTTGATACAGGACTCTTTCCAGTTTGTGTATGAGTTGGCAAATGACAGGAACAGCATTTGCTTCTAATCACCCATCCATCTTAATGCTGAAAAGACATAGGGCCGTGTTGCACAATCAACAGCATTTCACGACACTCGAATTTTTTGCTAGTGTGAAAGAGATCCTCAAAATTCCACAGAGTTACATTTTTATGTTTTTGATCATGATCTTCTTGGAAGATATTTATTAGGGCCATTTGGTGACAACATTATGAATTAACAAATTATGTTATTAAAGCAACAAAAGTTTAATGGTCTCATTAGGAAACTATAAAGCCTGTTACTTAACAGAAATATTATGGTGTTGCAAAGCAGGAAATATTTCTTAAAAGACCTGTCAGGGTTTAATTTCTAGTGCTGAAGTAAAACTCAGATATTGTGGTCAAAAGAACCAAAAAAAAAAAATATATATATATAGTAGCAGAGGAGCAAAATCCTTGTATGTGGGATGCCAAGCCAGCCTCGGATCCCTGAAGCATGGAGTAAGAAATTTTTCTTTCTTTCCAAATGGAAAAAAGAGGCCAGTTTTGTTGTTTGGGGCATGGTGTGAGAAAATACAAGCATAGTCTGCTAAGGAGTGCCCACCTGTTACTGCTTGTCCCCAGTGAGGAGGACTTCTGGGGTCACACCCTGCTCCTAGCACACCCTCTTTTCTGAGTGGAACTCTGCTCCTTGTTGTCTAGGGGAGTGCACACATGGCCCTCTGCAGAAGTGAGAGAGCAGTGTCACACTCACTGGTGGCCTGAGCATGCAGAACACATGGAGGCTGAGGTCTACGGTCCCCCATCCGGGTCTCCCAAGCAAGGAGTGGATGTGCCTACCTCTAGCAAATGAAAGTTCTGGGCAAGGGGCAGGGAATAAGTTCTAAGCCATTTTTCAGTTTGGAAAATCTTTGACCATTGTCATATAATTGATAAGTTCAGGCCAAAGTATGTTTGGGATTGAGTTCTCTGGATAATGTGTTTTAGTGGAAAGAATTCTGAACTGGGAGTTGGAACCTCTGGATTCCAGACCCAGTCCTACCGCTATGGAAAATTTCATGACAATCTGTGGACTACCATTTTCTTGTGTAGAAGATTACTTGGCTTGAAAGCATGTGACTGCATCCAACGGAGTCCACAAATCTAGCTTTGTATGTTGGGTGTGACTCACATTGCCCGAGGCTGGAGAATGTCAAGTTTGTGAAACTGTACAAGTGGAATGGGAGTGGACATAGGTGGCTCTCCTTGCGATGCTCCCAAGTCAGCAGATAAACAGGGGAGACCCTCGGGGAATCATCTTTATTTGTTGGGGTGGAGCTGGCTGGTTTTTTTTTTGAGAACTCATGTAGGGACTTGCAATTCTAGAAGAGGCCTTAGTGAAGTTTCTGATCCAGAAGTCCAGGGTTTTGGAGCGAGCCATTCCCTGACAGCTGAAATTCCTCCCTGGAGGTTCTCTTGGGCAGCAGAGGCTCTAGAATGTGGGTATCCCTTGGCCCACACCTGGGCAATTTCCTGTATGCTCCAGTCCCAGGCCCCCTGTGCGCCAGAATAGTGCCCTACAGAGCTAAGAAACTTTACACTGACCAGAGCACTGTGTACAGCACATCTCAGAGATGTGCATCCACAGGTCCTGGGCTTGCCCCAGGCTGTGGAGAAGGCATGGCAGGGCAGACTAGGGCAGGCACGTTGGGCCCTACATTTCTCTGAACCTTTTGTGCATTGCCCGACAAGACGATGGGGTGTGGAAAAGGCTAGGAGGTGTGGAAAACTGGGTGTAAAGTGCCTACCAGGTGGCGGGTCCAGAAGGGGTCTTTGAAAACTGACCCACTCAGCCTTTGCCAGCAGCGCTAGCTCTGGTTGGCCTGACAGGTGTCAAAGGGTGTTTCCCAAACCAAACAGACCTCTCATTGCCACCCCGCAGTCCTGCGCCACCCCGCCGCCCAAGGTCAGGTCCTGTGGACCCGCAGCTTTGTGTTTGTACAGCTGGGCGGTGGCCCCTTTGGCCGGGAGGGACGCACTGGGCTGGGGGAGGGGGGCCGTGGGAAGGGCAGGCAGGGGCCTGGAGGGGGGTGGTCCTGCTCTTGGCTGTGGTGGCCACGGGGACCCTGGAGCCCAGAATCCCCGAGCTTCTGGCCTGCAAGGAATCCAGTTTTCCGAATATCCAAAGAATTTTGGGCTGCAGAGCTCTCACTGTCTGGCCCAGGCCGGTCCCAGGATCAGCCTCAGTTCCGGAGACGGAGACGGAGGCTGGTGTCCCCAATGTCATGTTCCTGCGGAGGTCCAGCGTCTCCCCAACTAAAAGCGCCCATGCAACTTTCCTCCTACCTTGAGAAAATCGAAGCTGTGTTGTCATACTGCACGGGAAAAGGAAAAAATTCCTGGGACTGGGAGCGACGGAGGGGTGGGGAAGGGAGGACCGCGCCCTCCCACCTACCAAGAGTCCAAGAGTCCTTTGGGTCATGGCAGGCGCTTGGAACTGATCGTGGACACCCGCCCTCCCAACAGGGCGAAATGCTCACGATCCTGACGATCCCCTAGAAAATCTGGCAATTCTTGGGAAGACAGAGAAGGGGACCAGAGGCCAGGGAAGGCCTCCAGGTGTTAATTAAGAAGGATTTTTTTTCCTTCTTCTTTTTGAGGGGAGGTGAAAATGGTTGTGATTTTTAAGACACCACCTTTTCCCTTTTCCCATTTTCATTACAGTTTCTGTGTTCTTTAACACAATTAAATTAGCAGTGATTTTAGTAAAATGTTGCACCAGCTGAAGAGAAACTGGAGTGTATATCAATGTGGGAATTAAAACAGTCAACTTTACATAAAAGATTTACGCATAGGCATCACTTCACCTGTGGAAGTAACACACAGAGGTGGAGAGAAATGCTGGGCTGGTGTCCCTTCCCCCACTGTTCAATGGTACAGTTTCTAAGAGGAAAGCAAGGGTTGAGCCTGGCAGTTGAACGTGTTGCACACTTCCCCCAGTTGCTCATCTCTTTCAGTTTTATTTTCTTGTCCAATTATCCACCTTGTGGGTGCAAATGTCTGCCTTTTGTCATAATTCAACCCTGTTATTATCACTCTTTATGGCTACTAAATAGGTATAACCAAAATCAGTCAAGACTTGTTACTTGCTAGCTAGGCTTGAGCATGGGCTTGATTCTCTCATTCCTGCACACGCAGTGGGGTATCCTCCAATAAGCTCCACTTTCTTTCCTGACCCCCTTAGATGTAGTTCCTAAAGCTTCTTCTCTTCCTGGGTAACCTGGGCTTTACCCAAGAATGGCAGGGCTCATCAGGCCTGAGTTTCCTGTCCCTGAGTTTCTCTTCATTTTCATTACTCTTTAGAACTTTGCAATCTATAAAAAATTATTAAATTCTAGTTTGAACTTTGACTGTACTGAAAACAAGTGTCCACCTGTACACATGATAGCTTCACAAATGAGAGAAGAGAAGAAATGATACTGATTTGTTCACACCCAAATCAACTTTTGCATTCCTAAAAAGTTGGTTTTGTTTTGACAAAAACAGACATTCAAGGTGCAGTGAAAACTGCCTGAAGACACTTGGCTGTTAAGACAGTCATGTGCCAAGATCAAGTTTCCAGCTTAAGAGCCCAAATCAGAATCAATTTACTTGAAAATGTCTGCTTGATTATAACCTCCCGTTCAAGGGTTCTAGGGGGAGAGAGAGGCATGCACTCGTATTGCTGTGGTAACTCTTAAGTGAATACGTACATAAATAATTGGTTTCAAGTTTAAAAGATCTCATTTCTGGATAGCTCATTCTGAATATTTGTACACCAATGTTTGGTAAAGAAACCTGAGGGCCGCTTCCCCCTTTATTATATTACTTCCCTAAATATTACAACTCCAGAATGAAGTTTCTTGAGACTCAACCCTGAACCTTAAACTGTGGGGTGGAGATAAAAATTGTACCTCTATTCCATCACTACAAAGTGTGTAAGTCAATTGTGAGTTTTATTAAAAAATAAGCACTATGCCTGAGTTTCATAAAATTTATACATGAATATGTACACAGACACAAATAAAATAATATTAAAAATAAAAAAATCACAATTGTATTCAGGTGGAAGTGGTCTGGCACCCCACATAGTGTTAACTCTTCCTTTAAAGAAATTGCTTGGCCCGAGGAGACCAGAGTTAGGGAACCACTAATAAAGCTTGTAGTTGCCTGCAACATTTTCAATTCAGGTTTCAAATATATATAAATAATTTAATTACAAATCCTAACAACATTTTTTTCTCTCTTTTGGCACAGTGAAGCATCGGTCAATAGCAGAGACACTTCTTCCACTCAGTCACACTTGTGAACGCCACATATATGTACACGAGCAAGGTCCAATAAACCCGAAACAGTAGTCATATCATTTATCCTACGGAATTGTTCCCTGATGTGGTTTTTTTTTGGAGGGGGGGGCCGAGAGATTAAATCAGTGGAAGGTGCAACAAAAATAGTAAGAATAAGGGAGAGTCTAGGTAGTAGGGAAAGAAGAAAAGTTTTTATGAGGGAGAGATGACAAACTTGGCCAAGAAACAGAAACAATAACTGTTTTGGTCCTCTGCAGAGTTATAAAAGACAAAGGAAACTATTCTGGACTAAGTTATTAAGCACTTCTGTCAAATGCTTAACTGTAAGGCACGTTTGATGGAGTTGTTTTAAAGTCTCTTTTACTCTTGATAGAAACTGCACTGCCCGCGAGCGAGCTTGCGTTCCCCTCCTCTCCAACGGCGCCCATCCCTGCGGGCCTCGAGCTTGGCTCAGGCCAGGAGTGTCTCCACCGGGAAGGGCAGGTGCGGGCCAGGACCACAGGCCGAAGCCGCCTGCAGGGTGGCGGGCAGCCGCAGGGGGCAGTACAGGTGCGCGCCGCCACCAGCCCCGGGGCCTCGGAACGACTTGGCCGGGGCCGCGGCGGAGAGGGGCGCAAGCAAGAGGTGCGGCGGAGGCGGTGGGGCGGCGGGCTGCGCCTCGGGCCTCCGAGCGCCCTGCAGCGCCGACTCTCCCGCGCCGTACGCACAGAGCGGGAGCAGGGCCCCGCCGGCTGCCGCGGGGAGGATCGCGGCGTACGCGGGCAGCGGCGGGCAAGGCGCAGCGCCCCAGGGCAGCTGCATCCCCTGCACCGCGAAACCCAAGTCCCTGTCGCGGCGGCTGCGAAAGGGCTTGCTGAGGATGCTGTCGATGGCGAAGGAGCTGGAGAACTTGCCAGCGGGGCTGGCGTGCCCCTCTGGACGGGCGGGCGAGCGTGTGTGCGGAGAGGCTGAGGCGGCGGGCGCAGGCGGCTGGGGCGCGGCGGCAGGGCGAGCAGACGCCTCCTCGGGCCGCAGCCCCGGCGCAGGGATTGTAGCCCGGTGACTGAGTCGCTTGCGGCGGCGGCGGAAGACTCCGTCGGCGAAGGTGTACTCGCTGTTGGGATTGAGCATCCAGTAGTTGTCCTTGCCCCAGGGCCGCGAAGGGTCCCGCAACACCTTGACGAAGCAGTCATTGAGCGAGAGGTTGTGGCGCACCGAGTTGCGCCAGCCCGTGTAGCTGCCGCGGAAAAAGGGGAACTTGCCCATGAGGTACTCGTTGATCTCGGCCAGCGTCAGGCGTCCGCCCGCCGAGTCGCGGATGGCCATGGCGATGAGCGCTATGTACGAGTAAGGTGGCTTGGGCCGCCGCGTGTACGGCTTGCTGCGCGCGCCCTCGCCGCCCCCCACGCTCCCGGTGCACCGCCCTGCCGCGCCAGCTTCCGTTCTGTCTCCTGCGGCCGCGGGGCCCACGTCTTGGGCGCCAGGTCCGCCGCTGGCGCTCCGCTGGTCGCCGCCGCCCGCCGGATCCCCAGCGCCGCTGCCGGCCGCCGGGCTATTGGCCGCGCAGTCCCCGTCAGAGCCTAGGGAGTCGTCGCCAGTCGCAGACAACGGGGACGGCGCGTCGCTACCGCCAGTACCCTCCAGGTCACTGCCTGGCTTGTCCCCGTGGGCCGCGCGGGGGATGTACACCTCCAACTTCATGCCCGCGCTCCCAGTCGCCTCCCGCGCCGTACCCTTTTCCTTCGCGCAGTCTTAGGTAGCTAGTGCCGGGCTGGAGGTGGCGATCGCGCCGACAGGGAGGCCTGGCCTGTCTCCTGGGACCTCGCCTTCGTATCAACCGAGAGAGAGAGACACTTTTCCGTAGAAGGGTCCTCTTCGCTGGAATTTGGTTTTGGATGGGTTGTGAGTGTTGGGTGGCCTAGGAGGGGCGAAGAAGTAGTTGTTTGAGTGCTGTCTTATAGCTGGAGGATTACAGACTTAGGGGTGAATACAGGCGAGGGCTGTGGCTCTAACCTCTGGCGTCCGAACAAGCCGGGCTTAGAGGGATTTCTGGCTGGAAGGAAGAAGTCTGCGTGTCTGCTATCCGTTACAGAGACAAGGAGGAGCGACTTCGCCGGAGGTTCCAGGTCCGGGGCAGGCGTCCTGGGGCAAACAGATGATGCCGGATGGTATGCCACCCTTGGGGGAGGATCAGGCACCTTCAGCCTCGAGTGCCAGTGGAGCCGAGTCCTCGAGGCCGCCGCGCCCGCCGCCGCATTCCCGCCCCGGGCCTCCGGGCCAGCATGTCCGCGCTGGCTGGCTGCAGCTGAGTCTTGCCTCCACCTTCGGCCCGGCCCAATTTAACCCTGCGGCGGCCCTGTGGGGGCGGGGCCTGGACGCCAGGGGGTGGGGGATCGAGGTGGCCAAGGTGGCCGCGGCTCCCCCACGGGCGCGCACCAGGCGGAGGCCACGCGGCGGTGCGGCCACAAAGTCACTTGGCGCAGGTTGTTTGTTTTGGGTTTGGCCGGCCCCGCCCTCCTCCTCTCGCCAATGGGGAGCATGCTCGCAGCTGGGTGCGCGCGTGTCTCAGTGTGCGTGCGCGCTGGTGTGGCGGCCCCGCCCGCTCTTCCGCTCAGGTGTGAGCTCCCGGCCCCCAGTGGCTGGAAAGGGGTCCCTGCGCCCTGGGCTCCATGAGGCTTGGGCTAGTGCGCCTGGCGAGCGGACACCCTATGATACCCCAAGGGAACACCTGAAAGGATGGGCCTGGGTTTCAGGGACTTTGCTCAGGCCTGTGGCCTCTCTAAACTGCATGCGGTGTGCGTTTGTTTCTGAGTACAAGAAACGTGCTTCTCAGGAAAGCAAACCCCTCTGTCATTGCTGAGGTGCTGAACCTCTCAGGGCACACATTGCAGTGACTTCTTTCGGGAGCCACGTGTGGTCCCTCGCCATGATTTCCTTTCAAGAATTGTCTTTGTCTTTTTCCTTCTTTTAAAAATATGGAGCTTGAACTTGCATGCGCCTTTTTGGATGACCTTGACTCTTGCTTGGTAGCGGACCTCTGACTTTCGCTTTTCTTTTGTCTCACTTTACCTGGCTGGAGGCTCTTAGGGGAAGGGCAGCAGCGCCCCCCTCTTCTCCTGGGGCGGCTGTGTCTGGCTCAGGGTGCCAGGCTATGCCTACACTTGTGCCCCGCGGAAGCCTGGAGACTCAGCCACGCTATTCCGGGTTCTGAAAGTCAACAGGAATGACTGGGAGGGCGTGGTCCCTGAGCCCGGGCCAAGAGTAGGACGTGTTTACCTCCATTTCTTTTTAACACTCCTCGTTTAGGACTTTTGCTGTAGTTTCCATGGCACCTGTGTCGGACAGTACGGAAAGGGCCCCTTTTCCCGCCTCAGGACTCTCTGGATCTGACGTCCACGTGGTGTCAATACTTCAGAGAAGAGTGCCAGGGACCCAGGAAGGGTTCACTTGTAAACCTGTTGCCTACCATGCGAAATTTTCCTCCTTTTTCCTGCCTTTGTTGCAAATAGCGACCATGCCGCAAGTACGTGGGAGCTCATCTTTGATGTTTATTAACTTTCCACTATTTATGTAGAAAACGTACACAATCCTTTCTTATCTTTATTCACGGAGTTTAAAAAGCATTTCGAATGGGGCAGGTAAAAATGACAGACCCGTGGAGGGCTCTGTTATTTTGTGCTTGGAGAAATGATGGATGTTGGAGATTAGACTGATGTTTATTTCGTGAGCGTGTTAAAGCGGGGTGGGGAATGAAGATGAAGAATACCTTATTTTCGGAAACCAGCCGCTCTCGAGGGGTTTTGTTTAGCTCCAGCCCCTGGAATTGGCGGTTTCCTCGACCAAGCCAGCAGAGTGGCAAGACATTAGCCAGGCAAAAAGGCATTGATTTGGCCAGGGATTAAAGACCTATTCTTAATGAATGTTATCCTCATTTGAACTTCTGGGGGTGGGCAGGACAGGAGGGTGCATGCCTGCTTTATAGGGGAGATAAGTCCTAGGAGGGGTGAGGCTCAGAAATGTCACTGGGAGACTCCAAGCCAAGGAGTATTACTGTCTGCCAGAGAAGGTAACTCATCCCACCTCTAGTCCTTTCTGCTTTTCTTCCCCAGACTCTGCCCCTCCAAGTACTGCTGACCTTTTCCTCACTTTGATCTCTGGTAGGATGAGGACCAGCCCACTTGTTGGCTACTGTCTGCAGGTTTGGGGGCAATTGAGTGGGGTGGAGGTGGGAGAATTGTAAGCAGGAAAACCATTGCTATTTTCTGGGTGACTCAGAGCCTTGGGAGGTAGGAATAGCAGGTGAGGAGTTGCCTGCAGCCACCTACACTGCCTTTGGAAAGGAAGACCTCAGCAGGAGAATGACAGTAGTGACCACCTGGAAAGCAGAAAAAAGATCCCCCTCCCACTAGAATATATGTTCCAGTAGGGTGGGTTTTTGTCTTTTTTCTTCATTGCTGTATCCCCGTCCTTGGCACATGAATGCACTATATGCTGAAGGTATGCTGTATTAGTCTTCAGTTAAAACCAGAAATAAAACTAATTTTTCCTGTTGGCCTCTTTTGTTGGCATTATTTCTAGTTGTTGTCTTGTAGCTGGGAAATCATTCACCTTTTGCAGACTGTAAGAAAAAAAAGGTACAGATGAAGAAAGGCATGAATTCTCTGCATGTCTATCAGAAACTCCTTTAAATCTAAACTGTTAGGAATCTAGACACTGGAAAAAATAATCACATGTGGGATGGAAGTATAGCTCAAGTGGTAGACTGCCTGCCTAGGAAGCCAGAGGCCCTGAGTTCAAACCCCAGTACCACTCCCCTCCAAAAAAATCACACACATTATTTTGTTTATTCACAAGTTTCTCCAAAATGCTTGGAGATTCCTGCTCCATAATTCTCAGGTTTTGGGTAATGTGCTATTGATGGGTTAACAATAAATGCCTGTAGCTGGAGCCTCACCAAATACCTGTAGGTAAGAAAGACCAATTACCTTATTTCCCCTTTGCTTTATAATTTCCTTGGAGATAAGTGACTAAACTAAGGCAGAGGATAATTCACATTTCCATGATCTTGTGGACTTCCTAGAGTGATTTTAAGAAGAGAAAGAAATGTATGTATCTGCAGATACCAAAACAAACTTAATTAACTCTGGAAATTATCTGCTTTCCATAACTTGATAGTGCTCCACTGCCCAGTTGCGAAACACTAATCTGGAAAGGAAAGAATTTAATTCCTAAAATATCTAAGTGACTTGGTGGACTGGAAGTGGACTCCCAGTGGGACTACTGATGACTTGTCTACTGTATTAGGAAAGCAGGCAGCTTCTTAGCACAAAGAGGGCCACAGAACCATCCCAATAGCAACATTTGCCCAGCAACCTAGAAACTGCTCTGCATTTCTTTTCTTGCTAGCCTGTGCCAGTAGCCACACTGCAACCTCTGGATCTGAAGAGAAGGTAAATTTAAAACAGTCTTCCTTTGGAGACTTGAGACTCTGGGTAAGTCTGTGGCATAATGTGGTTAAGAATTGAAAAATCCCAGGCATAAAGAAAGGGCTAATGTTGAAAGCCCCAGGGCCAAATTCTTGGCCTTGCCCCCATGCTGAGGTCTTTCTGGGGGGTCCAGAGGGCCTGAGTTGGAGGCTAGGAATCAGGTGGCAGTGAAATCACCCTGAAGAAGTAAAGTCCAGCTCCCCCCTGACACTTTTTGTGTTTGTGAAAACACACAGAAAGAAAAGGAGTGCTTTGTACTCTGTTCTAACCTATGTCTTTATAGTCTAGGGGATTCTTTTGCAGATATAAATGCTGAAGGCTTTGGAAGAATCCTACAGAGGTTGAGGTGGGCATTGGTGGGGTAGATAAAACCTGGATATTTTTACATATCTTTCTTTCCAAAGATGTTTTAATAGGATCAGGCTTATTTGTTTGCCCATTTGTCTTGTTTGAAAAGTCTCCTTTAGGTCCTTCAGCTTGTGGGCATGGTTTAACCAAAGAATCCCAAGATCTGCTTGGATTTTCTCAACCAACCAGGTGCAAACTCCAGGGCTGTGCTTGAAGTTTGCTCTTGAGAGCCAGAAACCACAACCAGCAGGAAACCCTTTGGGAACCCATTGAGCAAAAGAATTATTGGGCTAGATTCCTATTCCTGAGTGGTGGATATTGGGGAATGTGGAGTGACAGCAAGGAGTGGCCTAATAATGGCCACTCCTAAAGTCACATTGGAGACTAAAAGAGATGAAGTTAAATGAAGTTAGAAAATAGATTAGCCAGGGCATGATGGGTTAGATGTGACTGAGAAAGCTGCCTAATTCTGTAACCTCGGGACAAAATCCTAACCACTTTAGCGCTGTGTATGAAAGTATCAAAATATGAAAAAAAAAAAAAAGCATCAGGGATTGAGAGATCTGAGGGATTGCCCAGTTTTAGTCCACTGTTCTTATTACCTGAAGTTCTTTAAGCTCTGAGTTTTAAAAGAACAAGAAATATTTAGCTCTCCTTTGCAATGAGTTACCCAGTTTCTCCTTTTAACTTTGAGGCTGCCACTTCCCATAATAAAATTAAAAATCTTCCCCTGCTCTGGATCATACTTTTTTTTAATCTAGAAAAAAACTTAAATCTAAAATTCTTACAGTTGTAAGAATCTATGTGAGTACAAATATCAAATTCTTATAGCTTTTTAAGAATTTTGAAAACTAAGTTAGTAGTTTCTAGGCTTTTATTAGTTGTTTGTCTTTTCCATTTCCTTTCAGTTGTGGAATCCCAGATGGGTAAATTCCCTGATACTCATCAGCCAAGCAAAGTTTCTAGGTGAAAAGTAGAGAAGTGAAAAAAGTCCATGGGTGGATGAGAAATTACTGGGGCCATTTAATACAGGCCTAGCCTGTATTTCAGAAAGAAACAATGTCAAGCCTTTGTGCAAAATCTGACAGCAATTGATAGCTGCATTACCCAAAGGGATAAAACACATGTCAGTGAATCATATAGCAAAGACTGTTGTGGAATTGTGAAGAGAACGTCTATCTGTCTATCTATCTATCTATCTATCTATCTATCTATCTATCTATCATCTGTCTACTTTTTTTGTTATGGAGAATTTCAAACATAT